CGAAGTAGTGCAGCCAATGTTCGGTTTACAACTTCGGTTTGACCATCGGTTTGAGGGTGGCATGTCGTTGAGAAGACAAGTTTTGTTCCGAGCTTTCTCCATAATGTCTTCCAAAAATAGCTCAGAAACTTTGGGTCCCGATCCGACACAATGCTCCTTGGTAAGCCATGCAAGCGTACCACCTCCTTGAAGAATAACTCGGCAATGTGGGAAGCATCATTCGCCTTTGCACCGGAATAAAGTGAGCCATCTTCGAAAATCTGTCCACAACAACAAAAATAGAGTCCTTGTTTCGGATCCTAGGGAGCCCGAGAACAAAGTCCATAGATAAGTCAGTCCAAGGACAAAATGGAATAGGGAGAGGAAGATACAAACCGTGCGGGCGTGTCTTAGATTTTGCTTGATGGCATTTAACGCATCGAGCACAAAATCGTTCAACATCCCGTTTGAGGTGCGGCCAAAAGAAGTGCTCTTTCACCACAACAAGCGTTTTGTCTACCCCAAAATGACCCATGAGTGCACCACCATGAGCTTCCTGCAATATAACTTCTCTCATAGAACATTGAGGAATGCATAACCGTCGTTCCCTAAATAAGTAATCTCCCTCCTTGTAAAAGGCTCCATGTGCTCCTTTTTCGCAATCTTCATATATGTCTCCAAGTTCAGGATCTTCCCAGTACAGCCCTTTGATGTGCTCGAATCCGAGCATCCTAGCCTCCATGGTTGAGATGAGTGCATGCCTCCTTGACAAGGCATCAGCAACGACATTGTCTTTGCCCTTCTTGTACTTAATTACGTACGGGAAGGTCTCAATATACTCCATCCATCTCGCATGTCGCTTCTTGAGTGTCGTCTGTCCCTTGAGGTGCTTGAGCGTTTCATGGTCTGTATGTATGATGAACTCCTTCGCCAAGAGGTAATGTTGCCACGTTTGCAGTGCACGCACCAAGGAATAAAGCTCCTTGTCATAAGTTGGATAGTTGAGTGTTGCTCCATTTAGCTTCTCGCTAAAGAACGCCACGGGTCGTTTTTCCTGCATCAAAACAGCTCCAAAATGCCACGGGTCGTTTTTCCTGCATAAAAAAAACAGCTCCAATACCCACACCGGATGCATCACATTCAATTTCAAATACCTTGTCAAAGTCGGGAAGGACTAAGACGGGTGCGCTTGTGAGTTGTTCCTTAAGCACGTTGAATGCTTTCTCTTGTGCATCTCCCCACTCGAATGGTCTGTCTTTCTTTATAATGGACGTGAGAGGGGCTGCAAGGCTGCTAAAATCACGAACAAATCGTCGGTAGAAGCTAGCCAATCCGTGGAAGCTCCTAACATGGGCGACGGTTGTAGGAGTTGGCCATTCTCGTATTGCCTTTATCTTTTCTTCATCCACACGTAATCCCTGCGAACTCACAACAAATCCTAGAAAAACAACTTCATTAGTGCAGAAGGTGCACTTCTTGAGGTTGGCATAAAGTTTCTCTCGTCGGAGAGTCTCCATGACTAGCTCAAGATGTGTCACATGATCGGTAAAATATTTGCTATAAATTAAGATGTCATCGAAATAAACCACAACGAATTTACCGATAAAAGCTCGTAGGACATGGTTCATGAGCCTCATGAACGTGCTTGGGGCGTTGGTAAGGCCAAAGGGCATCACAAGCCATTCGTACAGCCCTTGTTTCGTCTTGAAAGCGGTCTTCCATTCATCTCCATCTTTCATGCGCACTTGGTGATAACAGCTCTTCAAATCCACCTTTGAGAAGATGGTGGCTCCACTAAGCTCGTCCAACATGTCATCGAGGCGTGGTATAGGATGCCGGTATTTGACAGTGATGTTGTTGATAGCACGACAATCTACGCACATCCTCCATGTTTTATCCTTCTTTGGGACGAGCAAGACCGGAACTGCACATGGACTCAAACTCTCACGTATATAACCTTTAGCTAAGAGTTCGTGTACCTGTTTCTGTAGTTCCTTTGTTTCCTCGGGATTCATCCTACATGCGGGTCGGTTAGGAAGGGGTGCTCCTGGAACTAAGTCGATTTGATGCTCAATTCCCCGCATAGGTGGTAACCCCGCAGGTGTCTCTTCCGAAAAGATATCTTGGAATCGTTCCAAGATTCGTGTAATCTCCGGAGGTAGTTCTTGTGCATCAAAACCTGTACTCACAACATCCTTAAATACCATTAGTAGTACAGTTCTTGCATCAACTAAAGCCTTGCTTACCACACTTGGTTTGGCATAAAAGTTTGTTCTCTCGTTGTCCTCGCCTTCCTTTGACAATTTCATTTGCATCTCATGCACTTGATAAGGACTTAGAGGGGCTAAAGAAATTTTTCGCTTGTTAAATACGAAAGAATAATGATTAGTCCTACCGTCATGTTTTACCTCTCGATCGAACTGCCATGGTCGTCCAAGGAGAATATGACCGGCTTGCATCGGAACTATGTCACATATTACCTCATCTTGGTATCTACCGATGCTGAAAGGAATTTTGACCCGCTCATTCACCTTGATTTCTCCTTGATTGTTAAGCCACTGTAGCTTGTAGGGGTGAGGATGCTTCTCCGTTTCGAGTCCTAACTTCTTCACCATGTATGCACTTGCAACGTTAGTACAAGAGCCACTATCAATTATCAAACCATATACCTTGTTTCTTATGGTGCATCGGCTGTGGAAGATGGTCTCTCGTTGTTCCGTCTCTTCAGAAGTAGCCATGGTACTCAAGACTCGCCTCGTAACCAATAGCTCACCACTATCCGGGTATTCGATCTCCTCATCTGCAATTTCAGCTTCTTCTTCGTCCATTGACTCATACTCTCCCGCATCTGTGAGAATCATGACCCGATTGTTTGGGCAGTCCATGGCGTAGTGTCCGCGTCCCCTGCATTTGTAACAAACAATCTCTCGAGTTCTAAGATTAGTAGAGTGGGATCTACTTACCTTTGCATCATCCTTGGACGTAGCTACAGCCTTCCCTTTGTCTCGAACTTGAGTTTCATGTGCACTTGGCCTGCTCACAGTGGTTGTTACTCCTTTGCCCTCATTTCGGTATGTTGATGGAGTTGGTGCAGCCATACGGGAGCGGTGTACTCGGTTTTGCTTCTTGATGATTTGCTGTTCAATTTGTAAAGCAAAATGTAATAGTTCCTGCAGATCATGATACACTAACCTTTCGACCTTCCGAGAAATTCGTTCTTGCAGTCCGTCAACGAATTTTGCCATCACCGGTTCCTCGTTTTCGTCCAATTCCAACTGGTTTCGAAGATATTCAAATTCCTCGAAGTAGTTTTCAACCGATTTTGTCCCCTGCACTAAAGAACGGTATTTCTTCTGCAACTCTCTATGAAAATGAGGTGGAACATACCTTCTCCTCATCATGAGTTTCATTTCACGCCAAGTAGAGATGGGTTCATAATGTGCTCTCCTCCTTTCTGCGACTTCGCGATCCCACCATGCTAGGGCATTGTCGGTGAGTTGTGCAGCAGCATATTGCACTTTCTTGTACTCCGAATACTCATAACATTCAAAGATATTATCCATCCGCCTCTCCCAATCGAGAAAAGCATCAGGATTAACACGACCAGCAAATGTAGGTAATTGGAGTTTGGTATCTTTACCGTTATGTCTTGCACGACGAGGCTGATCTCGATATAAATCATCGTCCTCTTCATCTTCTTCAATTGGGACATTGTTCCTGTGGTCTCTTCGTCGTTGAGGAGGATCAGGGGGTGTGCGTTCTCGGTTTCGTACAGGTTCTTCACGCCTTGGAAAATTGACCCGAATAGGTTCTGGCCTCCTTGGTAGCTCCTCTAGTCGTGCCAATCGTTCTTGTATGTCTTGTAGAGTTTGTGCAAGCGCGTTGTGGCTAGGCTCTCCTTCTCCCGACATTCTTCTTCTTTATTTTATTTTTCTCAAGGTTTTGTGAATAGAAAAATAAAAACAGAACAGGAACTCAAAGTAAAACGTAATAGAAAGAGATGTCGTATTACCTCTTCACCGGTGGAACTGTTTTTGTATTTTTCGGTTTTCTTCAAAACAAAAAGGGGTAAATCTGATTAAAAAGAAATGATAGAAAGAACGCCCTACCTCACGTTGGTCCTTGAACCGGGCTCTGATACCAAAAATGATACACACTCGGGCTTAAGAACACAAGCTTGGCGGTGATTCTCGATTGTAAACGGTTGAAAGATTTCAGAAGTTAGTCTCTGGCTCTAAGGCACTCGATCTTTACTTCTAAAACTAGGAGTGACGTGAATGGACTAAGGAGTTGATAGGGGAAATCCTCGGACAGACCAAGGGATGCTCGGACACACCAAGCAAGGAGATTAGCGAAATTGGACACACCAAAAGCTAAAGAAAACAATGCAGAAAAGTTCTTATTCAAGTCTAATCTCTTCAGCTCGAAAATACAACCAAATATAAAGGAAAAGAACCAAAACAACAAAAGGAAACATGACAAACATAAGAGATTCTAACGGCTAGTTGATTGAAGCAAGAAAAGGAAAGTTTCTTCTTTGAAAGAAAGGACAATCTGTCAAGGGAGGAAAAGGAAAGATTCATGTGTAGATTCTCAGCTCTTGTCTAGACTTGGAAACCTTCCTAGAGGCCTCACATTTCTCGACCAAACAGGAAATGACAATCTGCCAAAGGAGGAAAAGGAAAGATTCATGTGCAGATTCTCAGCTCTTGTCTAGACTTGGAAACCTTCCTAGAGGCCTCACATTTCTCGACCAAACAGGAGCTAAGGGACTTAACACATGATCTCACTT